CGTCTTTCCCTTGTAAGCCTCAATGTTGCATGGGCGGTATCCCTGAGGCAATGGTGCCTCCATGATTTGCCTAGTGAAAGGCTCGAGAATTCGCACGCCATGCTTGAGACCTGGTCTTCCTTCCATCTCCCTTCTGAGCTCGTCTAACCTTCTCCTGAGGTCAGTATTATTATGGCTGACTCGAGTTCGCACTGGAGATCGGTGATCTCTTCGGGCTTGCCTGTCGCGTTGATCTCGTTCCTGAGATCTCCCCTTCGCGCACTTTGGCGACGGGACGAAACGGCGGCCGAAGAGGGCCCCTCACTGTGCTCACCCCTAGAGGAGAGTCTATCATGAACAGAAATCCTTTTCTCACTTATCCGGTTTACCACTGGAGTCTTGGGAGTTGCCCTGGAACGGTGGGAGCGTTGAGGCTGGGCGGGTGGAGAATTCCTCAGGCGCAGGAGGGAGTTCTCTTCTCCTCGCGGAGCCACGGATGGAGCCCGGCGAGGGGAAGGAGGTCTCCTAGTGGAACGTGGCCAAACATGCCAAAGCCTGTGTGGGATCCATGGTGGGGATGTTATGCCCAGTGCCCGGCGTCTTGAACTGCGGTGGACGCACCACCGGGTTCCTAGGATTCCCCTCACCACGGATCTGGTTCCTCAAATCGCCTTGCGCGGCGGCGCTGTCGTTGCGCCTCCTAATATCGCTCCTTCGGGACCTTGACCCTTCATCTTCAACCGTAACATGATTGAAACGATTTCCGCCTTGATTTCTACCAACGCGATTATTGCTGTTCGACACAACCATCGTTGCTTCGTATACTCGGCTCTCAACGAGAGCACCAAATGATGGAGTTAAATCCAACTACAAGAGCTAAATATACGTAGATATCAGAATAATATGGCAGCGTAAGGCAGTTTACTCTTTATTCCGGAGAACTAGCAATAGTCTAGCACTAGTATGATAGTTACATATTTATTATGCAGACTAAATATGAATATTACTAAATGCAAGTGTGACTCTGTGGTGATTGGCAGGTTGCTCCCAAATGCTTTCCTCCTTGAACTTTGTGCCTCATATCGACTAGGTACCTACGCGAAGGACATACAAAATCCAACGCGCTAAACAAATCTTGCTTAGTGGTGTTCATTCTTTCTCTTTACAATTTAGTGTCAAATATCACATAGTAAATCAACAATTAAAAATGACATTGCAAATATACTATATTGCAAAATATAAACTTAATCCATTTTGTTCCCAAATAGCTATTTAGTAATATAAGAAAAAGTCAACTCTTTCGTTGAAATCTTTAATAACTTATAATTCACCCCTAAATTCTATGTCTCATAATCAAATATTCAAAGTACAAGCCCTATTTGTTATAGTAGCATGTTGACCTTCGTATATCAGGAATAATACAAAATCATCAATCAAATTAGTTATTTCAAAATATATATCATATCACTTCGTTCGTAGTAGCTAGTTCATTATACTCCATTTGTTCAAAGTAGTTATTCTAATACCCTTCTAAATGTACAATATCCATATTAATATTCTACTCTTTAGCTGAGCTGTTAATAACTCGTTGAAGGTCCCTGATAGAGGTAAAAGTCTAGAGGGGGGGTGAATAGACTTTTAAAGCTTTTTCAACTTTAAAAACTTTCCCTTCTAGATGAGTTGATCTATAATCTTTTGGGAGATTAATAGATGCACAGCGGAAGTCTTTAACCTCTATATACTCAGTGTGGGATAACTTTCTGGCTTGGATGAAGTTTGGAAAATGGAGAGCAGTTGACTTGGCAGTTGGCTGGAAGGCAGGGCACTGCTGAGGCAACTGCTGAGGAAATATTTAGTGTATGATGAAGGTGATGGTAGAGTATTGCTTAGAATGATGAGAGTTTTCTGATAATGTACTCAAGTGAATATGACTAAGAGTTTTACTGAAGCAGTGGTCTCAGCAGTTGTGTGGTCACAAGGGAACTGCTGAGGCACCTGCTGAGTTACAGGCTGATTTTCAGAGAATAGTTTGGACAGGCTTCTTGGCAGTGAAGTTCTGAGAATTTATGATGTTCAAAAGAAATAAGTGTGTATGAGCAGTGGGCTTAGCAGTTGGGTGGAAACCAGGGAACTGCTGAGGCAACTGCTTTCCTTGAAAGATGATTTCCTGAGATCTAATAGAACAGACCTTTTAGTGGTGATATTGTAAGGCTCTTGTGGAAATATTTGTCTCAAATAAAGTGAGTAATTAAGCAGTAAGATAAGAAGTAGGGTCAATTAAGACTACTGCTTAGGATGCTGTTGGCAAACTACAATCTTTTTGTGAGAGGTGTTTGGTGTTTGCTTTGTTGACTGAAAGTAAATCAACACACAGTATATCCTGGTTCAGAGGTGGTGTAATCCTCCTACGTCCAGTCCCATCCTCTTTCAGATGGATTTCCACTAAAGTATTAAGCCCAATACACTTAGTGCCAATCTAGCCTTTACAACTCTTAGGCCTAGATTGAAGGTGTTTCACAATGAGTATAGCACCACTCAAAGTTACTCAATCCTTTAGATTTTTCTCAATTGATCCAGTGGGGATCAAAGGGTACTCTATCTATCTAACCACACTTTAGGATCCGAACAACTGTTCTCCTAAGTGTTTACAACAATTTGTGAAATGTACAAGAAAGTTCTAACCTCCAACTAGGAACTAAACTTCTAGGATTTAGCAATGAATACTTGTAACTTGGAAGTTTAGTGAAGCATGAGTTCAAGCAGAGAGTGAAGTTAAGTTCGCACTTTCTCTTTTGCTAGATAGCTCGTATATGCTCACTGGATATTTTTCTCTACTTTGGATACTCAAAGCTTGGTTTTGGAACTCATCCTTCTGCCTATATTTATAGGCCTCCAAAGTTGATTAATCTCATCCGTTGGTTGAGATGAATAATCTCTGGCGTTGGAAATTTGGCAAGGACGAGTTGTACATTTGTCTTCTTGTGCTGGAGCTTTTAATGCGGCTGTCCTCAATAATCTTTAGCCGCTGGAGCATCTTTTCTAAAACAGTCCATGTGTGCGTCCAGCTGTAGGTCCGTGTACTTGATTAGCTTTAAATGCCGATCACTTTTTGTCTTCAATCATATACATTTAATGTATATGAAACTTTGTGACTTTCTTTTTGTGACAGTTTAATTTTTGTGCGCAAATAAATTTATACTGGTAGGATTTAAATATCCTATTAAGGTAAAAAAAATTACCTTATTGCATTTCAAAATTTCCAGTATAGTTTTATTAGTCTCAAAAATTATATTGTACATTTATTTGTCACTTGATAAATCAATTTAAATGCTATGCTTGAATTGAATGAGACACAATGTACAGGTGCAAAGTATAGTGGCATAATCAAAATCTATCAAAATTGGTACTAACACTCGTAGTTTCCTTTATAACATATAGAGCGATATTCAAAGTATATTTTTCATTATGCACATTTTCTTTCAATTCTCTCTATCTCGATTTTCACCACTTTGTGTCATAGTCGAAATTCACATGAGCTATATCTAGCTGTAATTCAATATTCCATTTGATTTTCTTCTTGTCTCACTTTAACTTTCAATTACTCAATTTTCATCTTCTGCTCAATGTCAATCTCTCTATTTTCTTTTACACACTTTTATTAAGTTTATGGAATTCTACTCCTTAATTTGATGGACTGGATAAACGGGACATTCCTCATCTGGTACTGTCCACTCTGTGGCTGCGTACCATCTGAGTAGTATCAGCCTGACCGTTGTGTGGGTCAGGTCTTTCGTTTGGGTACTGTCTACTCTGTGGCTGCGGACCCTAAACGATCAAAGTTCAAGATTTCGGGTATGGTATCAACACTGACCGTTGTGTGGATCAGGCCTTTCGTTTGGGTACTGTCCACTCTGTGGCTGCGGACCCTAAACGATCGAATTCTACGGCCGTATTAACTATCCCTATTGGCATGCCAACCTATCCAAATCCAGAAACAAGGTTTCAAATTCCATTTTGTTTTATTCGTTTAAATTCAACGTATATAATTAATATAGTTTTACGTATTATTTCTCATTTCAAATTGACATCAACTTAATCAACAAGGTTCTCATTTGAAATTTTACTTGTTATGCCACGTTATTAATTCATATGAGAATTTCAAAATGTAGTTCGGGAAGTAGTTCACTGTAGTAATCATAACATCTTCATATTTAGTTGATTAGGTAATTTTAATATATAAATAAAATTATGAAATATATATACTTATTAAGATCAAGTATCTTTTATACCAATAAAATCATTTCACGATCGAACGCTTCCAATATCTTTCTCTTAGTGAGGTTAACTGTACTTAATTACCTTATTAATTTTACTTCTAATTCACTACTGTACTAACTTATATATGTATTATTATGAAATTTATCTTATTTCGGAATTAACTTTGATGCTATAATAATACATTTTATACTACCGTATATAAAACATAACATATAGAATACTTAGTTCGATTCATAGTGGATCCGAACTTACTCCGTAATAAATAATTATCTACTATCACATCATAATTCAATATCCGGACAATTAAATTATCACTTAAGTAGTTAATTAAAACATGTTATTAATATTTATAGAAACTTAAGTAAAATTAACACTTTTTGTCAAATTAAACAGTTTACCGTTCATTCTAAATTAACATAATTATACTTCGATAACATCAATATACCATCCATTCTTAAACAATACATATAATTTGTAAACTTTATTATAAATAAAACCATAATGTTCTCTTGAGCAATAATATATCAAGAGTAAAATTTAGAAACAAACACTTCGTATAAGAATAAAATTCAAACAATAACAATATAATTCAAGATAAACTTAGGGTAGAAGAAGGAATAAACACATACCTTAGATTTGTAGCAAGATTTCCTCCTTATTTTTCCTTTAAGTTATTCTGCCCTGTTTTTCTTCTTCTATTTACTTCCACTTTTTCTCCTTTCTTCCTCAAGACTCCCGCCCTCTTTTCTCTCGTTTCTTTCCAACTTTTCTATCTTCTTCTCGGTTCTCTCCTCATCTACTCTCTTTTCTCTTTAGCTAGCTAATAATCCCATCGTTTCATTTTAAGTATATATGAATTAAGTAATTCTATTTTACTTTGCAGCTAAACTCTCGTGAAGGATCGAGCATGTGTGGCCGAGTGATGTACATATATACTTATATTTGCAATTGCATGTATTTTTGTTTGCTTCTTGCATGAGTTTGCTGCGTGTCCTTGGCATTCTGCAGCTCATTAATACATTTTTGTGCTTATTAATACATTATTATTAATTAATTAGTTCATTGCTCAAACTTTAGCCATGTGTCATTGGAAGCATGTAATATGATGCATATTTACTTGTCTGTTTTTGAATGCCATTTAATTTGCATGAGTAGTAAATTTAAGTAGTAAATTTGCTCCTTGGAGTTATTCCAATTTTGCAAACCACGTACCCTTTTCCCTTTGCCTAGTGTTTTAGCTCTTAGCCACATGTCCTTTACCAATTCATTAATTCATGATTTGTTATTATTTAACTAAAAATATTCCATAATGGGTTAGCTACATAATTAAATGCCTAAGTACGTACTAGTCTTCTTTAATTAGTTTAGTCCAATCGTCAAAGTCATACTTGTCTATTTCAATATAATTTGATTGAATTGTTTCATTCGTCATTTTTTTAAAAGAATTTTAAATCTTATATGTTTACTTTTATTTTCGTTTTTTTTAAATGTGTAAATTTTGAGTCCGTTACAAAGTACGTAAACACCAACCCGAACAACCCCTCCCCGAACCAACGCCCGTATAAAAAACCCAATAGCTGGAGGAGAGACAACCAACGAGACGCTGAGCTTAAGAATGATGTATATATACCACCCAGGGAGGAGGCAGAGGGCTCAGGGAACCCAGGAAAAAAGCCGAGGGTAGAGATAAAGGTCATCTTCGGCGGGGGAGAAACTGGAGACACGGCCGCTGAACGGAAAAGGTTCGAGCGGGGATTGTACGTAGCCTCCGTGTCCACCCCACCCCAGAAGAAGGGAAGGATGGAGCCCATCACGTTCGGGATGGCAGATTTGCCCAACTCACCAAGTCCGCACGGGGACAGCCAACAGGCGGTCACTGTTGGCTGGTAATTCTTTCTTCGTTCCTTTATTCTGTATGCTACTTGGTTTCATGAGGCATTGACAGACTTATGATTTGTTCTTCGGTCTGATTATTGTGTCTTTCCTAAGGTTTTTCCGTTTTTGTCTCCATTATGCTTGCTATGTTCCCCATCATTTGAGAAGTACCTACTGAAACTTGATGCCACCCTTTTTGAATTGATAGGTTTTCCTCTGCATTTGAGTTTTCAGGTGGAAGTAGTGCTCTAATCCATGACTTTTACTCCAGAGCAGTTTTAAATCCTGTCCATTTGTCTTTTATCATAGGTTTAAAATCATGTTTTAGGCCTATAATATAAAGGTGAATATGCCATTGGTTGCTTTTTTTACATTATAGCAATTTTACATTGTATTAATTTAATTTAGTACTCCGTATGTTATATTATCCATGCTTGGCTATTTGAACTTGTATTTATGCTCTTTTGGATGAGTTATGCTAAAACTATTGAACACATGGTAGTTAGTTTTTTCAAATTTATTTGATTGATGATGAATACCCTTATTTATTTAATAAATGAGATTACTCATTTTCTGTATATCAAGATTTTTTAATGCAAAAATCCTGTAATTTTATTTTATTTTATTTTATTTTTTGGAAAAAAACACCTTTGGCATTGACATGTCGACGCAAATGATGTTTTTTTTTCAGATTTACGCATTTTGCATTGACAATGTTGATGCAAAAGATAAAGTGTATTTGCGTCGACCAAAGTGGATGCTAATGATGCTTTTGCGTCGAGGCTTTTGCGTCAACCAATTAGCGTCCACATGTCGACGCAAATAAAGTATTTGCGTCCACTTTTAACCTTTTGTGTCAACTTTTTGTCGGCGCAAAAAACACTTTTTCTTGTAGTGTTACAAGATTCATTTTCAAACAAGTGAATAAAACCTATTTTAAAGTGCTTTACCAAATTTAGCAACATTTATGTAGTGGAATAGTTCTAAATTATTTTCAATATCAATCACATAAAATTATTTTCTCCATAAGTGCACGACCTCATCAAGTATTAATTAATGTTATAGTTACAGGGAGCCTAATCCTACATCCTCGTGTACAAGTACATCCATTCCAATTAAGGAAAAAAGCCTATTAACTAATACTCCGTACATCCCATAATCAAAAGGTCCAATGTTTGAGGTAGAAAACAAACAGAAGGGCCAATTTTTTCGGTGGAATTTTTAGAATTTAAACGAAAAGTCACGGCTTTCGTTAAATGAGCATTAATGTACTTGTAGTGAGCATCTGACCTATTCTATTGAGTATTAGAAGTCAAGTAATGAGTATCACAAATGGTGCTTCATATTATCTAAGTCACTTTCTTTTTCTTATTTTTTCTTTTATAAAAATTATTAAATTATATCTATATCAACTCCATCCTATGAATTTTAATAAACGAATTTAATGTAATATGACACTTTTTAAATACACATTGATATGACATTTTACATATAAGCATCGAACCTCCTCTATTGAAATGAAAATCACGGTTTCTGCTAAATGAGCATTAATGAACTTTTACTGAGCATCAGATCAATTCTGTTGAGCATTAGGAGTCTAATATTGAGCATCGTGATCTCTGCTTCATATTGTATAATTTACCTTCTTTTCTTATTTTTTCTTTTATAAAAAATTACTAAATTCTTTTTATAATCAAACATTATGAATTCCAATATGAGAATTTAATTCAATATTATACTTTTGAAATATGCATTGACATGAAAATCATAAGTTCTACTAGTTGAGTATCAACACATTATCATTCAGCATTAAAATTCACATACTGAGTATTAAAAACCCGCAATTGAGTATCGTGACGTATGAGTATCGAAAAATTCGAAAGGTCATTTGAAATCGTTAATGTGCTCAAATCCTCATTTGCCTATGCTCATTTATACTATTTCGTACATGTTGAAATTATGTGAGCAAGCTCCAATCTAGTTGTGTGAGTTTCATCAACATTGATATCACGTTTTAAAATGAGCATAAAACCAGTACAGAATGAGTATACATAATTTACAAAATGAGCATCGAAATATTCAAAAGCTCATTTGAAATCTCCAATGTGCTCGATCAAATAGTCATTAATGTTACATCAATGCACATTTACTTTAAACGTTACACTCATTGTTGTGTAACACAACAACACAACATTCATTTTAATAGCCTCCATGAGTATTCATTTTAGAACATTATATCAATACACATTACATGTAAACATTATACTCATTTGAGTATAAGATAAAACTCATTCAAAAGTATATCATTTGCAAATAATATACTTTTTATAATGTATAATGTTTACTCATGAACATTTATTTTTACGCTATGCTCATTTCAGTATAACACAAAACTCATGTTAATAATGAGCTCACAATGTTAAAATAACTAACACACAAAATATATTAAATTAACAAATATTAAATTAACAAAATATATCTCAAAAATAAAAATAGAAAAAATATTGATACCTAAAATATTTTATAATGCACAACTTCAAGAAATACTTAAGTTATAAAGGAAAAAAAAGAAAAAGAAATACTTAAGTTATAAAGGAAGGTTAATTAAAAAAAAAAAAGAAAAGCAAACAGGGACGTTAAGTTACGCATTATATATCGCACATATTTATAAATTACTACGTAAATTAGGGGAAAATAATTAAAATACCCCAAACTTTGATGGGGTGTGAGGTAACCACCCCAAACTTACATATGTATTTTAAATACCCCAAACTTTATATAAAAATTTATTTTAACACCACGTTCATGTATTATTTCATTCAAAAATGTAAATTTATGGCGTTATTTGCATATTTTGAATTTTTTTAGCATTCATGAAGATGAAATTAACATTCTAAACTTCTATTGTAAAATAATACTACCTCCCCCCTTCCCCACACACTCTATATAATTGCATCATTTTCAATTTGCTATTTTAAATTATGCAATTAACACCATAAATCTACATTTTTGAAAGAAATAATACATGACCATGATGTTAAAATGACTTTTTATATAAAGTTTGAGGTATTTAAAATACATATGAAAGTTTGGGATATTAATCTCACACCTCTTTAAAGTTTGGGGTATTTTAATTATTTTTCCCCGTAAAATAATGGAAAAAGTTGTTAAGAAAAAAAAAAAGAATTCGCAAGGGAGAAACGTAGATGCAAAAAGAATGGTAGGGAAAAAGTTTATAAAGAAAGCAAAGGCATGCACCACGCATGAAAGATTATACGCAGTGATCATACACATGGAAGAACTATTGCCATTCAAATTAGATATAATTACAAAATTATCCGGGTATATAAGTACACCCGAATGTATGATATAACTTACGATAGTTATAGAGATCGATGTAAATAGGGATTATTTGACTTTGCACCCTAATTTATTGAACAAATTAGACTTAACACCCTGTTTTGAAAAACATTAATATTTGCACCCTAGCATTAACCAATCCGTTAGTAAGAGTTAAATAAACATGTAAAAGACAAGGCTGCCCTGGAACAAATAAGAAAGACGTAGTACAACATGTAACAACAACCCAAGCCAAAGCTAAATGAGAAAATGCAAAAGTTACTAAATACTAACAGTACCAACAAATTTCTTAGAAGAAGCAAATAAAAGCCTAAGAAGGACTTATATGCACCAGCAAATGCAGAAGTGCACCTGCACCAGAAAAAAAGTCCTACGCACCATATTTACATCTCTAAGCTAAAGCTAAAAGGAAAAATGCAGAAGTTACTACCAGCACCAAGAAATTGCTTTGAAAAAGCAAAAAAAAAAAAACAGCCTTATAATGACTGATCTGCACCAGCAAATGCATCAGTATACATACACCATAAAAAAGTCATCCACACCAAATTTACACTTCCCAAACAAAAGCTGAAAGTACAAAAAAAAACTGCACTAAATGCAAGAATCAGAAAGTACAAAACTACAAAAACCTGCTTAAAGTTAGCTGCCTTATTACAACTTAATAAATGATATTTGAACAACATTAGTTAGCCTTCATAATGACCTGCTCTTCCAGCCTAGATATTAACTATAATACCATCAATATAAAGTTAACATACAACCATAAATGACCCATAAATGCTCCTCTAGCAACTTATAACCACCTATTCACCTATGTTGCTATAAAAGGTTGTTAAGTGTAGAGAAAACTAGTAGAGATGAAAAAAGTATGGATGCAAATGGAGGAATAGTCCCTTCCAAGGTATGATCCATTGTGACCCATTGTTTTCCTACTGCCAGCAATAGTTGGTCCTCCCATTTTTCAGATTCCGGGTTATCAAAACATTCCTCACCACATTGAAATGATTTTTGTGTAAACCCACTCAACACAGTACCAATTTGCTCCTCATTTCTTGTTATTGTTCCTTCTACTTCCTCCATTTCGCCTCCCTGAACCTCATCATTTGACAACTCATCTGCAGCATAGCTTACATCATCCGATTCATCATCCGAGTCATTCATATTATAGCCATCTAGTCCATCAAGAATTTCCTCAAATTGGGTACCTATAAATAAGTAAGAGTTAATATTTAATAATCTACTACGTAATTGTTTTATTGTAGCCATATTATAGTCATATATAGTTCATCATGAATTGTTTAAATATAGTTGATTTATTAGTAACAAGTCTAAACGACAAAATACAAACAAACTATATCGCATTTAAATTTACCTTGGTAATGTTAAAATACATCAGGAACTGTTTGTTCATTTGCAGAGTGCGCCAATGAAGCTAATTCAATATATATATTGCCAAACTCATCATTGGTATTTGCTTCAGCAGTGATATTCTCTCCAAATGGTACCCTAACTGAAATGACGTATCAAAATCAATATTGAGAACTTGTTCGATTTAGTAACAGAGTCTTCATAGACAAATATCACAAATTAACTAATCACTTCAAATGATGGGGATAGATAGGGGAATGGTCAAGCAGCTGACTTGCATTGGTAAGTCATGTTATAGGATCTCTTTCATTATTTTGGCAGGGGTTCGGTTAACTTTTTTGGAGCTTTATATTGGTTTCTTTGATTTTGGTGTTCAGCACTATAGATTATTACAGGACTGATATTCACAAGAGGTTTAGCGATGAAATGGAAGCTAATGAGAAAGAGATGGTTGATGTTGCTTTTCCTCCTCCTGGGGCAGCTAAATAACCTTTTTGTCTATGTTTAACATACATAGTATTATCTAATTAGATAAGTTGTAGTTAAAAAAGGATAAACTAATCACTGCAATTCCTTTATTTATTTTTTCAAACTATACCACAAACGGTTGATTGTTTCAAAATTGTGTGTTCAATATACCCAATTAGATCACTTCTCGCATAAAAGACAACGACAAAGTATCGAATAACTTACTTGCATCTGGTAAAGAGTCAATCTTTCTCTTCACAGACAATGTCTTAGATATCCTCTCCATCCTTTCCCTTGGTGTTAGTGCAGGTGCTTCAGAGTCTAGAAATATCTCCTCACGTTCTTCTGAGGCAATGAAATCTGCCATTTTATCACCAACTCCATTACGAGAGCTCAACATCTCCATCTTGCAGAGAAACCCTATTTCACTCCATGTAAGCGTTGCCGAGAACGAAGACTGATGCGAGGCTTTGCATCTCAAATTCGCTGGGCTTCTAACGAAGGAGGTGTTTTAGTAAGGGCCTTATAGTCATTTCAAAGCAAGACTAACTCTGTTATCAGATTTCTAACGGAGGGGGTGCAAACATTAATGTTTTTCTAAAGAGGGTGCTAAATCTAATTTGTTCAATAAATGAGGGTGCAAAGTCAAATAAACCCTATTCTCTTTTCACTCATTTATACTCTTTTCACTCATTTATATATACTCAATATATTGTAATTTAATGAATGTTTGGTGTTATTGTTAATGTAAAAAAGCAAAACATTATTTAGGATGTTTTTACTTGAATTATTTTCAGTACTAAACTAGATTATACCAATCTTAAACGGATCCGATCTGATCAGATTTGCATAGTTATAAAATACGTAGTACACAACAACCATACATTTACCAGACCAGACTAGAGCAAGTGAGCAACGATTTACGGTGGATAAAAATGTAAGATAATTTTTTCAGAGAAAAGGGGCAAATAGGCCCACTTACTAACCAAAAAAAGTCAAATAAGCCCTTATATAAGAGACTATGTCCGGCCTTCGCCATTTGGGGCGGTTCCTGGTGGAAATTTTTGATGAAATTTTTTGACCATCTTATTCATTAAGTATAGTTTACTCATACCAAATTTCAGCTAAAGCTTCAATCGGGAAGGCATTCAAATGAATTCTTGAAGATAACTGCGCGGTTAAAAGCGCAGTCATCTTCAATAGTTCATTTGAATGCCTTCTCGATTGAATAGTTAGCTGAAATTTGGTATGCGTAAACTAGACGTAATGAATAAGATCCTCAAAAAATTTATATTAAAAAATTACACCGGGAACTGTCCCAAATGGCGACGGCCGGACAGAACCTTTTAAATAAGAGCTTATTTGACTTTTCTTTTTGTTAGTACGTGGACTTATTTGTCCCTTTTCTTTTTTTTATTTAAAAATAGACATAAAAAGTATATGGGCCCACAAGAGAAACAAAAGCGCGAAACCTTTGTTTAGGAAATTCTACATCGTTCTACAGTTCTACTTCGGTTCATCCAGAGAGTCATCGACACTAGGGTTCAAATCACTTTGGCGGTCTGTGGCGGCGGCAGCTGCAATGGCAATGGAAGACGTTAGGGCTAGCACGGCGTGGGTCGCCGCTCATTCCTCTCACGTAGCCGTCGATTCAGCCGGTAAGTCTACATTCCAATATATGAAGCATTACAATGCATGCTGAAAACGGATATTAGTTTTTCATTCAACGGAAGTAATGATCTTTTTGCAGGACTAGAGAAAGTCGCAGAGGCAATGAAAAATGCAATTCCCAAAGTTGAGTGGGACTTTGAAGGCATTCATTTCTTCGACAATGGGCCGCTTACTGTCCAGTATCTTCTCGTTTTGGATGCGCTGAATTTCTGTTTCTGGCCAGGTATAGATCATTTGTAGAATCAATAAAGTTGTTACTCCAATCGTCCTATTTCAGACACTTTTTTTACAAAAAAAGAAAAAGAGACTCACAAACCAGTTAAGTATGGTAAATTCAGTCAAACCAACAGCTAAATTCATGAGAGCTAATTCTTACAAATTCTTACAAAATTTTAAATATGTACTGTGTACATCACTACATATATAAAACAAGGCTTTATTTATTGAAAGTTGAAACAGATGGAGTAGCTGTTATGGACTAGTAACGCATTTTGTTTATAACTATAAACCGTTTAATGGCTCTGGTCACACATTCGGAAACAATGAGAGATTGAGAACTATGATTATGTACAATAGTAATATTCTGTACATCATGTAGTCAACTATGTTGCACGGAAACACGAAAATAATGAGGAAATGGAAAATGGGAAACAGGAAATGTCAACTTTTGCTCAAAAACGCTTATTTGGAGATTTTCTAAAGAGTTTCCAAAACAGAAATGTACTCTTTCCCGCGAGTTTTCCGTGCTACGTAGGTAGTCAATCTAGTGATGCATGAGGGAAAGAACAAGTACAAAATAGAACACTGTTAATGTTTACTATTGTATTGCATAGATAACACATTTACCCAAGTTAAATACTTAAACACTACAGTTTTTTGAAATTGATCTAGCTAAAATGTGTGCCTTTTTATGTCTTTTGTGCCTATCCTTATGCTTTTTCCGCTTCTTTGGTGGTCAATTTTGCCCCGGCGACTTATTCCCTGTATAGACACAATGAGGGGGGGTTTGCCCACTTCATGTTTGAGAGGGTCTAGGTGTCTCGTTTTGTTTCCTTTTAGAACACTGATCAAGATTGCCATATGTTGCCTTGTTCCATTTGTTGCTGCAATTAGTACTACAGTACTATCACTTCTCTCATGAACACAATGTGATGGGCATCTATTTCCTAGAGACAGAAATATTGGGTGTAGTGTTATTTTTCTGTTGTAACCTTGTTTGAACTCTTTTTAATTAAACCCGTTCTATGATGCACCAATTATTTCATTAGATGAGGTGATTATTAAATTAATCAGTGTATTGTAATTTTACTTACCTTGTAATTTGTAATGTGTGGACTTTGTTATTACTCCTATTATCTTCTGCTGTTTTCTCCTGATATTTGATTTTCTTTTACTGGTAGATAAGGATTTAAGTTATGACCATCTGGCATCTGGTTTGAAGGAAGCTCTTGAAAATGACAAATCAGCATTGGATGCAGACCGTTTGAAGATGTATACAGGTATCAAATTGTTTTATAGCACATTATTATTTAACAATCAATGCCCCCCCCCCCCCTCAAGTAAGATATAAAGAAATTTTATTTTTGAGGCTGGGGATCAAGAATTCAAGTGAATGAAACAATATGCAAACTAAGGCACTTAGGAAATATTATAAAGCATGGAATGTCATGATGCCATCATTGTAGAATTGTGACCCTAGTGCTTCAAGGTCAACATGGTCTTAGTAGGGAGATCTATCTTCAGCTAACATCAATGCACCTGACACTGTTTTTAGGTCCTCAATTACGGAAAATGTTGAAATGGACCAAGCCCCTACCATTGGAAGATGAACGAGTCCGCCTATTGCATGAGGTATCACTTTTAATATTTGAAACACTGCCTCATACTCATGCATTTTGCTGAAATATGGTTTTCTCTTTCTAATATAACACTCCTTCAAATATACTTAGGTTGGGACAGAGCTCGAGAGAAGTTTTGATGGGAAGGCATCCAATCTGGTGGAGTCTTGTGGAAAATCTGCTACAACGCTTGTTGGACTAATCACAAGCCACTTTCCTGGTACTTCTTTTTCACTTTTTGATCCCCAACTTTTAGCATATATTTTCACATCTTTATCATCCATCATATTAACTGATGAACTCATAGTACACTATACATTGATGAAGGCGGCTTATAGTTTTAGTCTCTAAACTGCAGGCTTCCGTGATCACACTGTTTACAAAGGCCGCCAGACTTTCTTGTATAAAAGAGCTCAAATATTTGTGGCAGATTTATGGGGTTCTTTTAAAGGTCAACGATATGGAGAGTTTAGTGACATTAGGTCAATAACTATTTTTGCTGATTATATTGTCCCGGCTGTGCTTCATAAACTCGGAGTGCTGAAATATAGTTCGGCTCTGGCCGAAATAATTGAGACCAACTGTGAAATTGGTTCAGGCAGTGAGGAAGAGGTAGAATTGAGAGCATGCTCAGTATATGCAGTTGAGAAATTGAGGGAGTTAATTAGTAAGAAGTCTGGACTGGAGGTCTGTCTCACTCTTCTACACTGTATTTCTTTCTTTCCTTAACTGATTTAATTGGTCTTTCTTCAAAGTCTGGGGAGACTTAACATGATAATCACATCTTAGATTTGAAATGAGTTACCACCTAGTTTGTACTCAGTGACGATTACAGTTCTTGACCGGTCAAACTCCACCAATGCACCAAGTTTGTTTGCCTAGATTAACAATGATTAAGTGACCTTTCACGAGCTATGTGTTTCTGACAAAGTGACCCACATAGGGATGGACTGGGACCAAGTCGGGTCGGATCGGGCTCCGGGCCAGGACTGGGCAGGCTCGGGCCAAAAAATTTCAGGCCCGGTACCTGCCTGGGTTTGTACCGGGACCAGGCCAGGCTCCGGGATGGGACTAGGCAATAAATTAAAAAAATTGTGCAATCAGGCCCGGGACCGGGCCTATATATTAGCGGACCGGGCCTAAACAGTACCGGGCCCAACCCATCCCAGTCCATCCCTAGACCCACTTATACTTTCTAAAGCTAAATTTTGTTTTCTCCAACGACCATATAAATCTTAGGTCCTTGTTCTTATGCAGGTACTAAGTGTGGAACTGGATCTGTGGTTATGGGCTTTTGGGATCCGATGCACCTCTCTTCAACACCACCGGACACTCTCCATATATTACTGAGCAATGGAATTATATATGTAACACTGATCTTGCATTTTTTGTCTTAACCTTATTTGTAGTGACTGAAGACTTGACATTTAAAAGTTTTAATCGTTACCAACTTACCATTTAATCAATTGCGTCAGTTTTGTATCACACTTTTAACTCAAAATTAATGATACACAATTTGTTCCCTTTTCATTTTGTATCCATTGATGAACCTCATTTCAATGAACGCACGAGCAGAATGCATTTGAATTGTTGCCTTTCAGTTTATCACATTTTAATTTGTGCAAGTACATGTTAAAAAGTATGCTCACTGCATATAGGCAGCTGCTAGTGTGAAATTGTAGTACATGGATTTACAGTGGTTGGCAAGTCTCCATCATAAGTACACTGTGGGAGTCTGGGATTCCTTCCTAGCCGCTGGTCTACTGGAGTTCTGTTGGCTTTTGGATGAATGTCCTGCATGTGAAGTTATTGCTTCTAGTAACGGATGTACTAATAATATATGCCGTCAACGATCCCAGTTTTATGCCATTTCACATGCAAATGTTAATAAAGGAAGCTGAAGAGTACCTGATCGAAAATGGCAGTGGGAATTGCTAGTGTTGCAACAGCATTAGGGGAATCAACTATACCTGAGATCCTGCCCTCGCAAGGGCAGCATGAGAGTAAGAGATAGACCTGATCCATAAATCATAATAAATTAAAAACCATCATTTCATAATCTTGCGGGATTGTTATTATTCATATCTAGAGATGAGGTAGAATTGCAGACCTGCTCCTTAGAGTAGCCAAACTTTGATAGGTAATCAATTGCGTTTAGCACTGCACGTTTGTAGGATACACTGACATCGAGGTAGTGTTGGCGTCCACTCTCATCGACACTGATTCCCTCGAAAACTAACCAATCTGAGAACCTTGGCTCTACTGGCCCTATCTCAAATATTGGGTTTACATGCAGCAGAGTGGGACCCATCGGAGTGAGGTACTCTTTCATACCATTTCTTATGATTTCACACCTTAAAACAATCAATCAGAACAAAACAATTGTGATCAGGTGTGATTGCTAGTAGGTGCGTTATGTAAACAGCAGTGGATATGTTCATACCCTATCAAATGTTTTCTGGAGAAACTTCATTTCGTGAATAGAGAGCAAATCCAATATGGTGGACTAGTGTATATCTGGTCGAAAGTATTTTTAGAGAACTAGGCAGACTAGTTTTGTTACTCCTACCATCCCACAAAGATAGTTTTGCACTCCTTTCTGCTGTCCCACAAAGGCAAATCAGTAGCTACATTAAGCTTGACTTTCCACTTCCTAGTTTATTCCTATTCAAATTTTCATTTTGCTGAGATCTAAGATGGGATCAATTCATTATTCAACTTTACAAAAGGACATACATTTTCTTCTCTGCTCTTCTTTGCTGCGAGGTTCAAACACCTGCATCTACTACTTTCTTTTTCATTTTGAATTCAAGTCAATTACAACAGAAGAACTCTTTAATTTATTTAATTTGCTCTACAATATCATGTCCATCATTTGCAATGGAGCCAAAGATTCATTATTTTTTGGCTTGAGAATATGATGGAATAAAGCAAAATGACTCACTAAACTGTCTGTGCTTCTTTGTTATGAAGCAGCAGTCAGTCCATGCAATTTTGGACGCGATTTTCACTATGGGTCATCCGGAAATAGTCTCTTTGTGCTGTAGTACAGAGGTAAGACTGCGTACATCCGACCCCCCCTTACCCCACCGTAGGTGAGAGCCTTTGCAGCACTGGGGTAAATGAAAATGAAATGAAATGCTCTACAATATCAATATCTCCGTTTTTCTTCTTAGTTTTGCTCAGTTTAAAAAAAATCTTAAAAACTTTTCTATGAACAGCAAACTTATGATAGTGATAATTTAGCATCATAAATTTAGTTTATGTTACTTGATTATGACTCGTTTTTAATGTTTGATTGATATTAGATTTCAGATTGGTAGTAATTTTGAATTGTAAAAGTTGAGGCCTACACCTTGCATATTCGATGCTGAATGCCTCAAGGTTTAAAAGTGACCTTTCATTGTTCCAATAAGGTTGAATCGCCAACCCCAAGCGCCCCCCACGCCCCAACCCGACAGGACTTTTTGGGAGGATGTAAGTCACGGTGACCCAGTCAGTAGAGTGGCAGTAGGCCCATACACCCGTGCGCACCAGAGGCCCAGCCTTATTTCAGGTTCTGTGACCTCCACCCGGTCGCTGCGGGGATTCGAACCTTGGTCATTGTTCCAAATTTCCCACCACTTAACCAACTGAGCTACCCGTGCGGGTAAAAAAAAAAGTGACCTTTCAAACATCGCTTCCGGGTGGCTTGAAATAAATATCTGAAAATATATTTTAACGGTTTTGGAAGGGGAAAGTGAAAGATGAGAAATGAAATGTACTTGAGTTCAAGAAAACCACTCATCTCTATTGCACCACAGAAGGCAACCTCTCCATCACCCTGAGAGAAGTGCATGTCCCCAGTGCTGAGATTTGCACCTTCTACGAACACAGGAAGATAGATTTTTGAACCTCTACTTAGATTTTTGATATCACAGTTTCCTCCATTTTCTCTTCCAGGAATAGTCCTAGCAGCCTCTAGAGCAACTCTTTCCCATTCTGGTGACCCTTCTTGAATCTACACAAAGCCTCTAAGTTTGAATATGCTGCTTCTGTAGATTCTACCAAATATTATGATCTCCCCATTTGAAACAAAAGATTGAGATTAACTGGGACGATTTTGGTATGTTAATATACATTCACATTGTTTAGAACCCATTTGGTTACCATGTTTTTCGACTTATGAGGCTTGTCAACCAATTTTTTCACCAAACACGTAATCCTCAATTTCGCGCGTTGAATTGTGTAATAATAAGAAAAAGTAAGATTGAAGTTACTTATATTTGTTGTATTGGCTGAAGTTACTGTAGAGGACCACTTTAACTATTTTATCATGTAATAATATATTTTAAATATAATTGTATAATAAATCAGCAGAATCAGCCAATCCAGCCACTTCAGTCAGAAATTCATAAGTTTGAACCGATTCAGCCGATTTCAGTGTTACCGAATTGGCCCTAAATGCAGAATATGTTTTCCTTACCTTGCCAAGAACACACCCTTTTGTCAATGGGAGGTTTGCAAGAGGTCTTGAATGCAAAACCTCACATAATTTCAGTGATTGAGGACCACTTTCTTGAAGTTTTCTCTCCCTATCATTCCATATATGTAGTAATTCTTTTGAAGGTGCTGTTCCTATTATCCCAGGGTGGGTCAAACCAGGAAACCTTACCCCTGCAGCAGAGTTCACTGATTAGTAAAACACCATTGCTTCAATAATTAGGGGAAAGAAATGGAAGCCACCCTGAGCTACCTGGAATATGAGGTGAGTAGGCATATATCCCTTCGAAATACCAAATGGCCTTGGTAGCACTGGGAAAGTGATCTGTTAGGAATCCACCACCATTCTCTCTGTCAAATGTTGCTGTATAACCCCATTCATCCCCAGGTAGAGGTCCCAAGTTGCATATTTCTACAGCAAGAAGGTCACCTGCCTTTGCTGGGATTCCATCACTGTCTACCAATCTGATTGGTCCACTGAGATAGTGCACCTGAACATGACAAGTGTTGATTAGTCCAGTTTCTTTTCTTACCTAACTTCCTATAATTAAAAAAGGTTATGTAGAAGGTTATTATCATCATCTTAATATGTTTGCCTTAAATGCATCAAGATCTTTTAAACCATCTTTTATTCAATCAAGATCTTTCAGTACCTATTAGTTGTAATGTTGTGTTTGGGAGGGGCATATGCAACTAAATGAGATTAGGAAAAAAAACTAGCACAACCCACAATCTGCTTATCAATCACGGAGTATAAAATAGTAACCCATTTAAGTGTTAACTGAGGAGATGTCAACATTACTAAAATAGTTTTTTCAGTAATTCTTTTTTTCCCATCTTGTGTTGCGACTTTAGAAGCTGTTGTTTGACGGCAAGGAGGTGAAGGCCGAAGTCTGCGACACCGAAGTCTGTTGTTTGAAGAAGAAAGGCATCGTTTTCTCTGGCTGGTGGAGCGGCTAGGGTAGCTGGATAGTTGAACTTCGGTAAACGGATGCTCATTAATTTTAAAACGGTGAACAGACAGTGAAACATACTTTTATTTAATCAGTTAACTGCACCGTGTTTTTTTTAAAGTGGTACGGTTAATTAACTGGAAAAATAATGGTTATTCGGTTTTTTTAAAAGGTTACGCGGTTACAGTTTTTTTTGCCCACTCCTATTGAGGTGTAACCCGTCATCTACACCAAGAATGACTCTTTTGCATGAAAGAGATTGCGTGTATTGCTATTGAAATTATATATCTCAATCTGCAGGAAATTTCCGAATTCTTTCATTTCTCACTACATCTCAAATGTTATTGCAATTACCAATAGACCCAATAGTATCACCACTGTATTTATAACCATTATGCAACTGCCCAATTGACTTTGGTGATTCCATTGTTTAGATTTATGCACTAAAATAAAATAAAAAAATCCTTCGATTGAGTATTAACTTGTATTGTTAATGAGAAATCCCGGTTTCCTTTAAATAAAAAAAGAAAGAAATCTAGTTTACCAAACGAAAGAAAAGAAATTATAAATTCATGTGTTTGGCCGAATTGCTTTGTTAAGAACACATGGCTAAAGTAACATCTAACATTTAAAGAAGTGGGCATATTAGAGACATGAATAATGGATAATATATATATATATATATATACTCCGTATAATTTTGTAAGACATGAATATATAATGATTTTGGATATCCCCTTGAAAGAAACTTGGTATGAAATGGGGAAATATGCATACTTACAGTTGAGAGGTTCACGGTTTTGACATCAGTTGCGTCGTTATTATCTTGAATTGCACCGCCAGTCCAGTCAACCATCTCCACCCTGAAAAGCTGCCCAGTTTCAACCTCTGCCACCGGTGGTATATCAGGATGCCAGCGGTTGTGCAGCGGCGGCACCTGATCGTGTGGCTTCTTTTTTAGGTCTATGGGCACCACTAGTGTAGGAGTTGAAGGAGGTGCCATGGATGCTTATTCCTCTCACTACCTGGTCTACACTCTACACCACCTATGTGAAAGCTTGTTATTCCATTAGTCGTGGCCTGGAGGGACCATTTAGTGCTCTTGATGCTAGCTCATTGACAAATATTTTAGTCGGATATGTTCCACTTTTACGGCTTGTTTGGACGGAGTGTCGAGAGATGTTAATAATAGAAGTGTCAGTAAGCGTATGTATGGAAAAGGAGAGGAAAGCAAGTGTAAGTATAAGATAAAATTTTGGTAGTTTCTATGGTACCCATAAGGTACCGTACCTTTATCCACATGAACCAGTGAGAATGTTGTAGTTGAATTATTTAAATCTAAATTAAAAATGATATAGTGATGTGGATCAATCAAGTTAATGGTATGTACAGTACCCCATTTCTTAAATGGGTACCGGAGTTGTCACCTAAAATTTTATTTTATTTGGTACAGTTGAAAAAGTAAAGTGCTAATAATGGAAGTGTTTTTACTTAAATGGACAATATTGACCTTAACCCTATTTAAATTACATAGTATTCAAAATAATTCTAATTTGATGTCCTATCACGTAGAGCAGTAACTTTATACGAGTATATATTTGGAGTAAATAGAAAAACTAACATTACAAACTTGCATAAGCCCTCAACAAAAAAATGCACAAGTATTCAATAGGAAAATAAAATACTACCAAACAAAGCAGAGTATCCAAAATCATTTTAAGAAAATGGTACTCCCTTCGTCCCTAAATAAACTTCCAACTTTACTTTTTCGTCCGTCCCAATTAAAACTTCTACTTCCCATTTTTGATCAGAATTTGTGGTTCACGATCATTCTTACACATTTCCCTCTCCTCTGCACAACTTTCCACCACACAATAACCACTATCTTAAAATGTGTGTCAGCCATGTTTGCAGGTTCGTTCTCTTCACTCTTCCTGGACGATCACCAGCGAAGTGACTAGATAGTGACCATAAAAGGAGCACTGACTACCTGAATAAAAAACGGAAGTTGAGGAAGGAGGTAGAACGCCACATGGAAGGGGTAAGATATGTCAACACTTTAATACACTCCAATTTGGGGTGTCAAGAAACTCATCTATTGAGGTGTTAAAGGAAGTTTTTTCACACTTAAAATAGATCGTAGTATAGTGGTGTAAGTATGAGTATCGTCTCCACAGGGACACACAAAAGAGAATCAAGAATTAATTACATTCAGCGATTAAAAGAAATAAATGCGTCGTGCGAGATTGAATGGTTTGGAAAATTAAACTGCAACCAAACGATTAAAATAAATGGGTTCTCTCTAATTAATGACCAAGGGAACAGAGATTGATTCCAGGGTAACCAGATTTCTGGCAGATCAAGCCTAATTACATGAAATTAATTTAATTGAGTCTAGCAAATCATTACTAAGTTCTTACTGCTCTCGTGACGTAGAGTACAATAAATTAGGGGACCAGGCTGATCTCTCATGTGACATGATCCTAAATTATTGCCAAGACGAGCGAGCTTACGGCCCCTTAATCGCTACTAATCTCTTAGCGAACGTTTAAGTGTGTGTGATGGTGTCCTAGAATAAATTAGATCTCTCTTAACTTATTCTACCAGCAATTGTAATTCTAGCCGCGGTTCCATGTTACAAAACATATCAGTTAAATTATTTAAACACAAATTAAAAAGCATTCATGCAATTAAATCTTCAAGAATCTAGCCATACATTATGATTAACCATTTCATCAACCCCAAATCCCTAATTAAACTACTCACAATTCATAATTGAAGAATCAATAGAATTGGGAAGAATAGAATTAATTCTCATTAATTAAAAAGATGAAACTTACAAAGAATACCAAAAGATTGATGAACAAGGCTGTAAAGCCCTCGAGTGCGTCTGGAATAGTTGCACGTAAAATCTTGCCACGCACGGCCGTGCGTGTCTGGTAGTGAGTCTTCGAAATTTTACCTCGGACGGCGTTCCCCCACGCACGGCGTGCGTGAAACTTCCGAATTTGACAAAACTTCCTTAATGAAAGTTGCAGATAATGAAGTCCTCTATCTACCATAACTTGCAGAATTGGATTTGGATCATCCAATCAAGAGATATGAATAAAATGGTGAAAGGTGACTTTCTGAAATCGCAATAGAGATCATTTGACTCCATCGTCTTTTTTCACCATGCACCTCTCAGATTCTCGGAATGATGTCTTCATATGATTTGTAGCCCTTGAAGTTAGCTTTCATGTGCAACTTGAGTCGTGTCCTTTGGATGCTTCTGCAAAGTGCTTTGCTTGAACGATTGACAGAAGGTCATCCTGATCGTCGTTTTCCAGCTCTATTCACCTTCTTTTGATCCCGTAGCCAATCCTAGAGCTCTTTTGTCATCAAATCTTCATCGTGAAAATCCCGGTGACCTCTAAAGCTCTCAAATCAATCTCGAATGCTTCTCGAATCATCCCGATTGCTCCTCAAGCGCCGGTGCCGAAATCTAAATTCCTGATTTTTACTCCATATGACACAAAACTCCAACCAACACCGGTAAACATGACTTAAGCTAAAATTGAGACTTGTAACACCTTAAAACTAGGAAAACCATCACAAGTCGATCCCAACACACATTAAATGCGTGTCTAAATACGGACTTATCACCTTAACACTTTTAAACACTTACTACCAGTCTAATATTTCAATTTTTTTAAACTTCTCTCCCAAACATGTGTTAAAATCAACACCCTCAACACTTCTATTACTAACAAACTTAAACACCTCATCCAAACAGGCCGTTATGGTCTATGGACAGTCGGTTCGGTTCTAGTTCTTCACATTAATCAAGATCATAATTTTCATCTAAGGTCCATTTAAGGTCTGGGTCTTTTCAAATCCTATTTCTTTCTGATTCTTAATTTCTTATAATAGTTATGTATTATGTTTCTTTTGAAATATTATACGTATCAGATAATCGTAATTGGTCCCGTTTCATTTTAGAGGAGCGAGAACCACACAGGATTGAGTCAGTCTTGAATACCGTTTTCAGACCGTTCCCAATTAACCCGGTTTCAAACAGGACTAATAACGCACTCACTTCTGCGTTAATAATATCATGGGTCGATCCAAATTCACTCCAATTTCAGTTACTTGTGATATACTTGTATTAAGAAGGCATGACTTCCATGACTCGTGTCATCTAGTTCACACCACGATCTGATTTTGTGATGTTATTAGACCACACCTCTTTCCATTTGCAATGGAGCCAAAAATATTATTTTTTGCCTTGAGAATACGATAGAATAAAGCAAACGACTCATTAAACTGTCTTCATTTCTTTGTTACGAAACAACCGTCAGTCCATGCAATTTTCAACGCGATTTTCACTATGAGTCATCTGAAAACCGTCTCTCTGTGGTGTAATACAAGAATAAGGTTGCGTACATCCGACCACCTTAGTCCTTACTCCACTGTAGGTGGGGAGCCTTTGCGGCACATGGGTGATGACGATGATTAGACCACTCCCCAATATGTGTGCTCGGAGTTAGATTCAAAATTAGAGTTGGGTGGATGATTACACTAGAGTTAACGCAATAACATGATGAGCTTAATGTGAAGAATGAAAAATACTACCGAGTAATATACACTAAGAACATCTTCAATGATTCATTTCGATGACTTGTTTGCAATTTTAAAACTAATAGCTTACCATTGGAGCATTACTTTTCCTTTTTACTTGAGAAAGATGATTAGCCAAAATGAATTACTAACTTGAGCAAGAAGAATTATTAAATACGTAGTACTCTATATAACATTATTTATGATAAATGAAGAGAAAGAAGTTATAACTATATTTTTTTGCTAGGAATACTTATGTGACCAGTGATAAATATGCTCTAACAAAATTTGCCTCCAAGAGTAAAGAAAGGCATGGCCTTCGTTTTCTGGATGTTAGGATTAAAAGCCATTGGTGGCTTCTTAATTGGAAATTAATGGAAGACATTTTCAACCATGCGTGAGGGCCACAAATAATGTTTTCACCACTTTCAATATCCCCGCGCACTAACAAAGATTGAGTGATGTGTCTTACACCATTCGTGGGAACCATAATCAACCTCTCAGTAACTTGTCTATCTTTTCACAAAATATATGGACCAATCCTTGTTCTCGAATCTGGGTAGACCAGCTAAGACCCAATGAACATTTGTCCTGTAAACTAAATTTATGGATAGAATAAGACTATAAGAGTAGTGATATAAACACATCACGTTGGGATTTTGACATTTTCTTCATCTTTTGTTCTAATAGACACTACTACTGGACATAAATTTAATCATGTTGTAACTTGTAAGAGAGTGCAAACAAAAGTGAAGTTGGTTCAAAGGTGGTGTCTACGATGATGTATTTTTTAGCATTTTACTATAAAGAATGGGTGGTTTAGTGATAAAATGGGACCACTTCAAAGTGTTCTGAATACAAAATGTAAAAAAAAAAAAAAAATGAAGAAAAAAGAAAGAGAAAAAGCAAAACTATTCTGTGAGTAATTTAGAAAAGAGCAAAAACAACACAAGTGCCCGTTATGTTGGAGTTTGGAGGCATATACCCCTATGAGAATAAATTCAAATAGCTGATTGAAAAGAAATGAAACGCTGCCACTCATTTTAGCCTTTCATATTATTAGTTGCTTTCACTAATCATCATCATCGTCAGGGCTGACCCAGAGGGAGTTTAGGGTGTGTGACCGTACAGGGCCCAAAAAATTGGAGGGCCCAAAATAAAATTTGTAGTAGTAGTACTACTACTCTACTAATGTAATAATGTATGATGAATTGATGAAATAATGAAATTTAACAAAATTGGTTGTTATTTAGAATTAAATGTAATTAGTTGATGAGTTAATTGGGCTATTTATATTCAATAAAGTTATAATTGCTGCAGCTATGTTTTAAGAACATCTGTCTGCCGATCAATATTTATGTCATAAAGGAAGACCCAAATTTTTGTTATTGCACAGGGCTTCCATTTTCTCAGGACCGGCCCTGATCATCATTACCCTAGTGTTGCAAAATCTCACCTACCGTGGGGTAAGGGGGGTCGGATGTACGCAGTCTTATCCCTGTATTAAAACACATAGAGATTGTTTTATGATGATTCTTAGTTAAAATCTCATCGAAAATTGCATGGACTTACTGTTGCCTCATAGCAAAGAAGCGC